GAGGAGGTTTTGTCCTTAGGATATTCTTACCTGGAAGGGTTTGAGCTACATTTAAGGGTTTCCCGTTTAAACTGGGATATTGATAATTTCTGTTTTCTACCATGAAAGTGGGGAGATTCTGGATGAAGTTAGGCCCACTTCTTCCCCACGCCCGTTCTCATATCATCCAGGGGAGATTCCGCGGCTGCCTAGGGCCACTTTAGCTGCCACCGTAGCTCCTGTATCGTGCGGGGAGATTCTGGCCAATCAGAGGCTACTTCTTCCCCAATCTCGACCACGCGGAGAGATCCTCGTGAGAATAGGTCTTCAGCAACCCATATGCTTCGCTATGTGCTGCAAAATTATCTTGTCGTGTAAGAGGCTAATTAACGGATGGGGTGGCCAGTTTCTCATTGGACTTGTTGGGCACGTATCATCGGTTCACTCAACTCGCGCCGGATCAGGTGCTATTGCTGTTGATGCCAGTTAAAATCCTGATTCGTGAACTGGGTTTTTACGGTCGCGCTTCCTTATGAAACAGGATTCTATTGCGCAATTCTTGGTAGAAACTAAACTCTCACTCTCTCTCACTCTTCCCCACCCTCTTGCCTTATAAACCCACGCAGGTTTGATTTTACCGGTATCATATTGTGGTAATTAGTCAATTTTTGCCTCTGGACTTGGGTGTAGTGGGATTTTGATTGCATACATGTTTTGAATGGCATATATCTCAAATCCCATCCTGCTCCTGTCGCCATTCCTATGAAGACACATTGCATTAGTTTGTCATATGTCCACCATAAGATGTAAACATTCAATCGCATTATTTGATGGCTAAATAGGATGTAATATACACAGTTGTTTGCTCTCTTATCATGCTGTTTATTATCCAATATTTGTTGTATTTATGTATAAATGTAATGGAACATTATTAACATAAACTCTGTTTTACTAATCCATAATCCCTTTGGGTGAATGAAATATGATTCAGATATCCATGGGCCAAGTATACCCCCTTTATCAAACCTTGTCTTTGAATATAGAATAAGGCAAATATAGTGGAATGATGATTATACAGCTTTGATACAGATATTGTGTTGGGGTATTGTTGTTGTGGTACAGTGTTTATGTCTATGTCTGCTTCCCAACTGTTAAGTTGATGTTGCCGGCCATGGATGCTACATATTTAAGGCCATGAGTGAGGGAATGAAACTTTGAATGGATATGGACATCCAAGTAAAACTGGGTATTTAGGTACAGTTTCTCAATATAGTAATGAGTTTGGACATAAGCCAAATTTGAGTAAGAATTGGGGGATAAGTAAATTATTGAAATATCAAAAATAAGTAAATGATAATAATATAAAACAATAGTAATGATATAATATCTTTGCTTTTATGCTTGCTTTTCTTGTTAATCTCACGCTTTATATAGAGGTGCGTTGAAACAAAGTGGGAACCATGTACATGTTACATATGAAGATAAAGATGACCTGTAAATTGTTAATGGAACTTGACATCAATATGAATATTTTCTCAATGTGTTCACGTTTGAATAGCTATATCTTGTTTTCGTGATATCGACTTTTAAGACCTAACATAAACATGAAAACAAGGTTCGAAGAAATAGCCTAACTAGGTTAGAATCTCCCCATTTTGTTATAAGAACAAGAATGGGAAACAAGTAGCCAACTTAAAGTTGATTCAAGGGTGGGGAAAGTTTGTTTAGGAGGACAAACTTTCCCCGGGAAGCATTAAGCCTAGGGGAAAAAGTTTGGCCTAGGCTAAAGTTTCCATCGGGAAAGTTTGTTCCAGGCCAAACTTTCTCTCGTGAAGGTTTGGTCAGGGGAAAGTTTGGCCTGTTACACGGTTTTGATTCCCAACATGGATGTAATGTTTGAAGCCCTTTTCTGTTGTCCTCTGCCATGATAATGTTAGAATATATAAAAGTGGCATCAAACCTCACTCACTCATTCATATAGTTGTGTTCATGCATGCACTCTATATTGTTCATAAATTTTAGAGGCGTTTGGGTAGCCTAGTGGTTAAAGAGTCGTTTCAAAGACCTGGGTTCGATTCCTCACATGGGACCTTGGGTACAATGTGTGAAGCCTATTTCTGGTGTCCCCAGCCGTGTTGATATTACTGGAATATTGATAAAGCGAATTGTCTTGGCGTTGATGAGGAATGTCTGACTCTTATTACTCTTAACCACTAGGCTACCACATGGGGCAAGGATATATGTAAGGAAAATCCATTGTGATTGAATAGAATTGGAGTGGTCAGACCTGATGATCGTTTGGATGTGCTTTTGGCTTGTTTTGCCTCGCCCACTGTTATTTTTCAGGCCATTGGAGTATTCATAATGTTGACTATATGTTAGATCCAGAATCTGAATGTGATGCTTTTAGCAGTTGTTTCAGTAAGACATGTGGTAAGGCTGACTCTGTTCGCTTTCAGCGGGGCGACGATGCCAAGACATATGACACTATTAAGGAAGTGACGGGAATCGACAACCCTCAGGTGATACAGGGGAAGCGATCACTGCATGCAAGAACAACGAAGGATCCTACAAAGTTGAAGATGTTGTTGCTATGCTTCTTGGAGATGATTCTGAACGCCTGCAAAGAAGCAGGTACATATGAGTGCTGGCTTTGTTCGCCAGAGTGAAGGGCTGTAAGATAGCCCAGTGGTTCCCTCCTCAATCTAGTTGTCTGATTTGATTCTCCATTGGACCCGAGCGGAAGGTCGGTGGGTTCGATCCCCGACAGCGTCATACCAAAAAGGCGCTAAAATATGGTAATTTTGGTCCCTGCCTGGTGCTCGGCATTAATAGGTACAACCAGGACTGGTTGGCTCGAGTCAGTATAATGTGTCTGAGTGGGGTATTCATGCTTCACTCGCGGCATGGTATCTCAGTGGGCTAGCACTATGAAACCAGCTTAAGTCTCCATTGTGTTAATTTCATTTTGGTATTCCCATGATTTTGAGATGTTGCTCAAAGCAATGTCAGCGTGGTTTTGTGACATGGTGAGAGACTGCTCTGTAGGAAATCTCAATACAAGTTTAGAACCGGAAATGAAATTTTCCCAATGAATATTATCATAGCTGCAACTTGTGTCCCAGCTCTGTAGAAATAGGTGGTCTGTTCTAGAACTAGGATCTGATTTTTATAAGATTGCACTAGGTTATTGAATAATATGAAATAAATAAGATTACAGTGAGGTTTCATTACGGGCATTGTGAGCCCAGTGGTTACTTGCAAGTGCAGTGATGTACCTTCCATGATAAGAATGTCCTTGCACATGTTAAACATTGACTGTTCTTTCAGCCTGAATTGCCCCTCAATCTGTGTTTCTTTTCTGTTGTACAGGTTGTGAAGCCATACAGGGATGTTACAGATGCTCTGCGTGACGCGTGACCCAGAGTCAGACTACTCGGGTGAGCAGTGGTGAGGCCATCCCTAGCACCACACAGAAGACAGAGGGCTGAAGCTGGAGCTGGAGCTGCCTCTAGCAAGGGTAAGCAACTGGTAGTATTAGTAGAGGTAGATAGTGAGGGGGTGGGTGGTGGTGTGAGGCCATCCCTAGCACCACACAGAGACAGAGGGAGCTGGAGCTGCCTCTAGCAAGGGTAAGCAACTGGTAGTATTAGTAGAGGTAGATGGTGAGGGTGGGTGGTGGTGGTGAGGCCATCCCTAGCACCACACAGAAGACAGAAGGAGCTGGAGCTGCCTCTAGCAAGGATAAGCAACTGGTAGTATTAGTAGAGGTAGATAGTAAGGGTGGGTGGTGGTGAGGCCATCCCTAGCACACACACAGAAGACAGAGGGAGCTGGGGCTGCCTCTAGCAAGGATAAGCAACTGGTAGTATTAGTAGAGGTAGATAGTGAGGGGTGGGTGGTGGTGAGGCCATCCCTAGCACCACACAGAAGACAGAGGGAGCTGGGGCTGCCTCTAGCAAGGATAAGCAACTGGTAGTATTAGTAGAGGTAGATAGTGAGGGTGGGTGGTGTTGAGGCCATCCCTAGCACCACACAGAAGACAGGAGGGAGCTGGGGCTGGCCTCTAGCAAGGATAAGCAACTGGTAGTATTAGTAGAGGTAGATAGTAAGGGTGGGTGGTGGTGAGGCCATCCCTAGCACCACACAGAAGACAGAGGGAGCTGGAGCTGCTTCTAGCAAAGGATAACAACTGGTAGTATTAGTAGAGGTAGATAGTAAGGGTGGGTGGTGGTGGAGGCCATCCCTAGCACCACACAGAAGACAGAGGGAGCTGGAGCTGGGAGCTGCCTCTAGCAAGGGTAAGCAACTGGTAGTATTAGTAGAGGTAGATGGTAAGGGTGGGTGGTGGTGAGGCCATCCCTAGCACCACACAGAGACAGAGGGAGCTGGAGCTGGAGCTGGAGCTGCCTCTAGCAAGGGTAAGCAACTGGTAGTATTAGTAGAGGAGAGGTAGATGAGTAAGGGTGGGTGGTGGTGAGGCCATCCCTAGCACCACACAGAAGACAGAGGGAGCTGGAGGGAGCTGCCTCTAGCAAGGATAAGCAACTGGTGGTATTAGTAGAGGATAGATGAGTGAGGGTGGGTGGTGGTGGGGCAAATCCCTAGCACCACACAGAAGACAGAGGGAGCTGGAGCTGGCTCTAGCAAGGATAAGCATCTGTAGTAGTATTAGTAGAGGTAGATAGTGAGGGTGGGTGGTGGTGAGGCCATCCCTAGCACCACACAGAAGACAGAGGGAGCTGGGGCTGCCTCTAGCAAGGATAATGAACTGGTAGTATTAGTAGAGGTAGATGAGTGAGGGTGGGTGGTGGTGAGGCCATCCCTAGCACCACACAGAAGACAGAGGGAGCTGGAGCTGCCACTAGCAAGGATAAGCAGTAGAATAGATAGTATTAGTAGAGGTATATAAGAGGGTGAGCTGGGCAGATGCAACCACAACACCACACAACAACAATGGTAAGCAGTGATTGAAACTAGAATTATTGGCAGCCCTCAGCACCACATGGAGGTAAAATAATGGGAAACAGAACCAGTGTTTTCCCCAGGCATTTTAGCAGGGCACAGTAAAAACATAAACAAAATGAAAGGGAGATAACTCTGTCACGACTTCTTTATAGATGAAAATAAACAATTAAAAATATTCAATTGAAAAATAATACTTATCCTTGTGACAATCGAAATTGAATTCTACCTAATTATCCACAAACCTAATGTTTTGTTTGGTTGACATTTTTGTTCAAAACTGCTTGAATGGAGTTAAAATGTTAATTTAAAATATTGAGGGACAACAGAAAGTTAAGCATTATGACATCACTATCGTTGAATAACCTAGTAACTTTCAACTGGTTACACAACACCTGTTTCAAATCACCAAAATTATAAAGATATTCAGAAAATGTTTGTGATAACGTAAACATAATACTTTGAAATATGTCATTGCATGCCCGTTTGGGAATAGCGTTGTCCCTTTCGAAATTCTGACGCACTGCCCTTTTGGGGTGAAACACTAAGAACTCAACAAAGTAATGTCAGTCTTAGTTGATGATTTTTCTACAGTTAACTGTATGTTTTCAGGAGTTATTGACCTGACCAATGAGCCCACCACTGACCGTGATGAGTTGCAGAAAGCTATAGCGGCCAGTCTGCAGGACAGCCAGGGCATTCTGGGAGGTCAGGTGACCAGGGAGGAGCAAGATATTAGCAGGTACTCGCCTCAATCCCATGTATCTTGATAATAACATCAGTTCACCCAGCCCCCTAAACTCAAAATCTTGTGATCTTTTGTCAATTCTGCATTCAATTTTACATGTCTCTATTTTAGTTTCTGTTTGAATTGTTGCAGGCATATTGTTTTCAGAAACTTATCTGTTTCTCGAATAGTTTATTGAAATGAATCTGTCGATGACTTGTGTGAACATACAGACATGCAATTTTCCCTTCTGACTGAAATAAATATTCTTCCAATTCCTCTAATTCTCGGTACGAAAATTTTTCCTTATATTCGTCAATACACGTTATGATATGGATTTGATTCCCAAATTCCTACTAACAATGGTGTCCATGATTATGATCATCAGAGCACTAAATGTTTAGGACATGCATCAAATTATCATATTATAACCTAAAATACTGTTCCAAGAAACATGACCCCCCCCCCCCTCACTCACTACATCCGTCGGTGTACTGCAGGGTTCTAGAAGCCAGTCTGGCCGAGAGCAAGGCAGGGACAAAGAGGAAACGAGGGGAGGTATGGTTTGTCGACCCACTCAACCCCCATGAACGCAAGCGTAGCGAGGGATGGCCAGTAGGACTGAAGAATGTCGGCAATACATGCTGGTTCAGCGCAGTTATACAGGTAACCAGGCATCTGTTGCCATGGCGACACTTCATGCTGATTATTATTATTATTATTTATTTTTTTCGCGTTTTATTTCCCAATGCGTTTACATGGCGTTATAATTATGAATAGATATTCACATATACAAAGCCATACATAAATAGATAGTATTTACAGGCTTGGCATAGGGCCTTAGTCGGTGTTACATTGACCATTCTTTCTTTGAAGATATTACATATAGATAAGTGGGCATAACTACATAATACATAAGTAGGCATCGGTACATAATGTTGTTTCGTATTAGTACATGCAAGGTATAAGTCATTTAACATTTCCGTTATTTCTCAACAGATGTTTACCTATACATAAGTGTACAAAGTACAGTGTATGAAAACGTTTACTGCATGTTTGACTGCTTTTTATCACCTGCAAGGCAAATCATTGTAACATTTAAAGTGTACTCTTTAAGGTTTACAATTAAATATTAAGCTACAAGTCTAAAACAGCATGTGGAAAGAGGACGAAAATGTAAAAAATTGGACTGATTGTTGTTTGTAAAAGGCAATGAATTTACAAGTTTGATATTCCTGCTGATTAATGATGTAATAGAGATTAATTGAGATTCCTTTGTTATAAAACACAGTGGCCCATTTCATTGATTTTTGTGTTAACAGTAATGAGCACAGGCTGGCCAAAGACATGATCTGTTCTGATAATGTAAAATTATTATGGCATCAAGTACCTATTTGCAATAACAGGCACAAATCACACGGAGAATTTAGATATATTTTCCTTGTGTATCTGTCTTTGCTAGATTAAAGCCTGATCGTCAACGACTGTCTGCCTTAGGAAAGCAGAGAGATGCAGAGATCAGACACAGTTATCTCCCTTTGACAATTTGTTTGTTTGTTTGGTTTTTGGATTTTTTGTAACCTCGACCAAAATATGGATGTCATAGTCTTTATTCATAGGTATTTGAGCTTGATTGAAGTTTTGTTTGCATTGGTTTCAGTCACTCTTTCATCTAAGAAAATTTCGACACATTGTGCTGAATTTCAAACTTCCAAATGAAGGGCCTTCTACATCAACAAATGTAAGTATGTAAGCATGTAAGCATTGCCATCTTAACTCGGAAGTGTTGGAGCACCCCGGCAGAATCTCATATGTATTTTTATTGTTACAAATGATAAATTTCAAAGGCTGATTTAGGTAGATTGCTCAGTGACAATGTTTTTTTCTGTGAGAAATGAATGATGAGGCCCTGATATGGTACTCGTATTCCTAAATATAGATATTCATGAAGTGAACAGTTTCACATTTCCTTTAGCATACTCAAAAAGGTCATGAACCCTAAATATTTGTGACTCTTGAAGGTCCAGGTTAGAATATTGGCCTTCAGTAACCCATGCTTGTAGTAAGAGGCGACTAACGGGATTGGAGGGTCAGGCTCGCTGAGTTGGTTGTAGGCCAAAAAAAATAATGTTGTGGTTCCGATTTCCTACATTTCAGAACTAGGGTAGATAGGTAGGGTTTTGGTGTTTTTTTTCAAAATATTGTTACATTACTCATGTGTCAGAAAATAAATTTATTTTATTATGTGGTGAGTAAAATTGTTCGCCTCGGGCGGGAATATTTAGGGTCGGTCGGGAAATCGAACCACAAGCTTCTTTTTTTAGGCCTGACACATGTCATCAGTTCCCCATGGTGAAGATCGATACTCATGATGTTGATCACTGGATTGTCTGGTCCAGACTCGATTATTTACAGACCGCTGCCATATAGCTGGAATATTGCTGAGTCGCTGGCGTGAAAACTATCCTCATTCACTCACTCACCTAAATATTTACATATGACTGTACTTTGTCATGGCTTGTGGGTTTTGCAGGAAACTTCAATTGTGGATGTTCTTGAACGTTGTTTCAGTAGTATATGAAAGAGAACATTTTAAAACAATTCCTGTTGGTTTTACACCTCCATACAACTTGTTCTGCAGCTGAGGAATACTAACCCACAGTGGGTTGTTTCAAATGTCATGTTTGTGTCCCGCCAGGAGAGGAGAAATCATCGGTTCATGAATGAGCTGCGTCACCTGTTTGCCTTGCTGGTCGGCTCAAACAAAAAGTATGTGGATCCGCCCAAAGCTGTGGATATTCTGAAGGAGGCTTTTTCCTCCCCAACAGGAGCTAGTGATAGTCAGCAGGTGGGTGCTTTATCTCTTACAGAGATGATTACAGGTGAAACCTGCCCCAGGGAAAGGGGAGAGCGCTATATATCTGTTGTTACTGATATATAATTCCAGGGCCAAATGTTGATGTGGAAGAATTCTATTCCTTATCTTACTAATATGTTTGCAAGGTGTATATGTTCTTATAAGAAGACTTTATTCCTCAGCTACGGTTGCAGGACCTGATGTTATTGATCTAGTTGCAGGACCAGACTGTTCCTGTTGGTGGGCGTTGTTCCTGATGTTATTGATCTAGTTGCAGGACCAGTGTGTTCCTGTTGGAGGCGTTGTTCCTGATGCTATTGATCTAGTTGCAGGACCAGACTGTTCCTGTTGGAGGGCTGCTGTTCCTGATGTTATTGGTCTAGTTGCTGGACCAGTCTGTTCCTGTTGGAGGGCGTTGTTCCTGATGTTATTGATTCAGTTGCTGGACCAGTCTGTTCCTGTTGGAGGGCGTTGTTCCTGATGTTATTGATCTAGTTGCAGGACCAGCCTGTTCCTGTTGGAGGGCGTTGTTCCTGATGTTATTGATCTAGTTGCTGGACCAATCTGTTCCTGTTAGAGTGGCTGCTGTTTTGTTCCTGATGTTATTGATCTAGTTGCAGGACCAGTCTGTTCCTGCTGGAGGGCGTTGTTCCTGATGTTATTGATCTAGTTGCTGGACCAGTCTGTTCCTGTTGGAGGGTTGCTTGTTCCTGATGTTATTGATCTAGTTGCAGGACCAGTCTGTTCCTGTTGGAGGCGTTGTTCCTGATGTTATTGATCTAGTTGCTGGACCAATCTGTTCCTGTTGGAGGGCGCTGTTCCTGATGTTATTGATCTAGTTGCAGGACTAGTCTGTTCCTGTTGGAGGGCTTGTTCCTGATGTTATTGATCTAGTTGCAGGACCTGTCTGTTCCTGTTGGAGGGCGTTGTTCCTGATGTTATTGATCTAGTTGCAGGACCAATCTGTTCCTGTTGGAGGGCTTGTTCCTGATGTTATTGATCTAGTTGCAGGACCAGTCTGTTCCTGTTGGAGGGCGTTGTTCCTGATGTTATTGATCTAGTTGCAGGACCAGTCTGTTCCTGTTAGAGGGCGTTGTTCCTGATGTTATTGATCTAGTTGCTGGACCAGTCTGTTCCTGTTGGAGGGCGTTGTTCCTGATGTTATTGATTCTAGTTGCAGGACCAGTCTGTTCCTGTTGGAGGGCTGCTTGTTCCTGATGTTATTGATCTAGTTGCTGGACCAATCTGTTCCTGCTGGAGGGCGTTGTTCCTGATGTTATTGATCTAGTTGCTGGACCAGTCTGTTCCTGTTGGAGGGCTTGTTCCTGATGTTATTGATCTAGTTGCTGGACCAGTCTGTTCCTGTTGGAGGGCTGCTTGTTCCTGATGTTATTGATCTAGCTGCAGGACCAGTCTGTTCCTGTTGGAGGGCGCTGTTCCTGATGTTATTGATCAGCTGCAGGACCAGTCTGTTCCTGTTGGAGGTGTTGTTCCTGATGTTATTGATCTAGTTGCTGGACCAATCTGTTCCTGTTGGAGGGCGCTTGTTCCTGATGTTATTGATCTAGTTGCAGGACTAGTCTGTTCCTGTTGGAGCTGTTGTTCCTGATGTTATTGATCTAGATGCAGGACCAGTCTGTTCCTGTTGGAGGGTGCTGTTCCTGATGTCATTGATCTAGTTGCAGGACCAGTCTGTTCCTGTTGGAGGGCGTTGTTCCTGATGTTATTGATCTAGTTGCAGGACCAGTCTGTTCCTGTTGGAGGGCGTTGTTCCTGATGTTATTGATCTAGTTGCAGGACCAGAATGTTCCTGTTGGAGGAGAGCATAACAAGAAGCAAGAGAAACATTATTATTCCCCAAACTTGTCATGGATGTATCTGCAAATTATGAGGTGTGTCCTCATTTTAGCATTGTTTGATCTAATGAAGAATTCTCCAGTGTATTGATTTGTTTTGCAGGACGTCAGTGAGTTTCAACATAAACTCCTAGAATGGCTTGAGGAAGCCTTCAAGAAGGATAACACTGACCCTTCATCCTCACGGGAGCGTGGAGTCTTGTTTTGTTATTGTGTGCACATTGCTGGGACCTCGCCATCTTAAAAAGCCGCATAAGTACCTACCTACCCACTGGTGTAGGCTACTCACTCTCTTACTCCAGAGCACCGACCCGTGAAGATCCTGGTCAGAATAGTTCTTCAGTAACCCATGCTTGTCGTGAAGAGGCTTACTATCGGGTGGTCAGGCTAGCTGACTTGGTTAACACATGTCATTGTATCGCAATTGGCGTAGATCGCTGCTGCTCGTGCTGCTGATCACTGGATTGTCTGGTCCAGACTCGATTTATTTACAGACGGACGCCATATAGCTGGAATATTGCTGAGTGCAGTTAATAATGCATCTCACTCACTCACTCACTGACTTCAGCAACTTTCACACCACTAGGACTAGGAGAAAGTAATTTTTCCCTTTCATTCATGAAAATGACATTTCCCAATATGTTGTGTGACCTTTGCATTGGGAACTGTTTGTTTTGAGATACAGAAATCAGATCTGCTTGTTTTGTATCCACTCTCTCTGAAACTTGAGAAGCTTCAATGCAGACAATCAGCCTCGAAGGTTCCCTTAATGCATGTAATGAGGGTAGGATATTGCTATTTACAGATTTTTGTATGTTTATTTTCTGGATTTCTATGGAAACAATTTGGCCTTGTGTCAAAAAGGGGTTGAATTCGCTTTCTCGAACATACTAAAAATTCCTCAATTGCTCAACTGCTCTATCAATAAAAATTGTTAGATATCTGAGGCAGATCCCAAAGAGGTGCCTTTTGCTATTTTGCAGATTTTGGCATTTTTATTTTTCCTGGTTTCCATGGAAATGATTCGACTTCTTAGTCACAAAAATGAGGGATGGGCTTCGTTTCCGGGGCACAATTTGAAAAACCTTCAGTATCTTTCTACAAGACTTGGTAGATATATCAAACAGCTCATGAAGTGGTGCCTTTTGCTGCTTCTTGCAGATTTTTTATTTATTTATTTTTCTTATCCTGACTCATGATCTTTAACTTGATGTCCCTTTGCGAATGGTAGTGGAACACTTGAATCCCTTTGAAGTTCCTGAAGCCGATGTAAAAATACACTCACCCACGAAGTTACCACCCTTTTCCGTAGTAAACAGTCATGTGACCAGCCTTACTTGTCACTCTCCCTTTTCGCCCATGTGGATGGTTTGACGAGCACTGGAGTCCCAGATATCTTTGCATTATATCCTTTTATTTTAGGTCCTATTCTTCAAAATTACGCTTGTGTATGGATTTGGCTATAACTTACATTGTATTATATGTAAAACTTTATAAAATTATTTGTATTTGTGTCATAATTTCATCGTGATGTAACTTTGTTTACATTTCATGAAATCTGGCAGTGTTTGCAGAGCACAAGTTATCCGTGGCTGATCCTCACCCCAATGCCCTTCGTGGCATCAAACCATGTTCTTCCAGCTTGTGATTTACTTATTGTGCTGACACAGAAGACTCTGTTCCTGCTTGTGCTAGCCACGGCAGCTCGGATATCAGAGATACATACGCTGGACTTTGGTCGAACCAGATTCGACAGGGGCAACATGATGCAGTTCATCTAGGACTTAGATGGGACTTCATTGCCAAGAACCAACTACCTGGTCAGACAGGATAGACAGTTCCACGCACTCAGCCATCTACAATCCTATATATTTTCAAAACACTAAGACAAGGAGATAAAAATTCAAGCCATTCATCCCATTATCCACAGAGACATCAGTATAAGTCTCAAGAACGCACTCATATCGCTCCGGATGAGAGTCGCCATTTGAGAGCCTATAAGGCAGCAGGACTAGAACCTCCTAGAGCTTCCAACCCACACGGTCAGAGCACTGGCCGCCAACATTGGCTCTGCACGAGAAAATTTCTCTATCATCAGGAATTATGGAGGGCTGCTTTTGGAAGTCGGATACGGTGTTTGCCGACCACTACCTCTGAGACAAAGCCACTGAAGACTTCTGCAGGCATCTCACCAATTTGGGCCCTCGTGAGCACAGCAGCTAACAGTTCCTCAAAGGCACTGAGTTGGAAAATCTCACCCTTTATCACGCTGACTTGATAACTTTTACTAAGGAAAAGTATTAGTTTGAAAGTCCATGCACACATTCTAGGACAGACTAGCATGAGTGATTAAAAATCCTGTACGGGTAAAGATCTTACCTGTAATGCGTGAAGGGGTCGCGAACTTATTTATGATAAAGATCTTATCATAATCTATGGGTTGTTATAAGATATCTAGTAATAAGAAGATACTAGTTTATCTGAAGCCACATGAATCAAGATGATTCAACTTGTCTGAGATGGAAGTAAGACAAGAAGTGGTCCCCCCGAGTGGTCCCCCAACGGAAGTTGGAAGAATAGGATCTCGAAATGCCGCCGCGAAGTTCCCATGGGGATACAGGACGCATCTAAAGGATAGCTGATGAATCCAGGAAGTGGCCTGACCCACCACCAATCTCCAGGATTCTATAAGCAAAATATCATGAATCAGGATAAGAAAAATATTTAACTTTTCAAGTAAAATTGATATTTTTATACTTATCATGATGGTCAAGCCCACCCGACATCTCCCTGCTGGAAGCACTTTGGATTTCACAGCAGTTCCAAGTGCTTGGGCAGAAAAATCAGGAGAGTGACAAGTAAGGCTGGTCACATGATTGTTTACGAGGAAAAGGGAGGTAACTCGTGGGTAAGTGTATTTTTACGTCCGCTTTGGGAACTACAAGGGATTCAAGTGTTCCAACATTCGCAAGGGAAAGGGAGATAAGCAAAAGATCATGAGACAGGATAAGTATAAAAATATCAAGTTTACTTGAAAATTACATTGTTCGTGATTTCCTTTGGAAATGATTCGACTTAGTCTAAGATTGAAAGTTAGTAACATATCAAGTTGGACTTTGAGCAACTGTCAGGTGATTTGTTCTTTAAAATTTGTGGGGACTGGGGATTTGTCATCTTCTGATGACTGTTGTTGTTTCTGTCGATGCATCAGTGCATCCCTCTGTGCTGATTGATAGCAAAATGCAGTTGTTATCCCTCCCTCTTTCCATCCCTCATGCACTTTGTAATACACAGGATTCCAACTAGTCTGTGTCATGTCAGTGGAACAATTACAGCACTCACTCATTAACCATGGCAACTTATATATATATTATTTTTTCAGGAAGGCAGGATGTTCTCAGCAGGAGGATAAGAAGGATGACAATCCTGTTGTGGATCTATTTCCACGGCAGTTCCAGGCAGAGGGATATCAATGAAGGTATGTCATGTGGTCTTGTGTTGTTCAAATACTATCCTGCAACCAGTCACAATCAATTCTGCAAAGTTGTAATTGATGTGTGGTTTAACTGCAGAAATAAAGAGTATCTACCAATGAAATCTGTATAGCACCAACAGTAACAGCTTGGCTATCATAGTATGACCCAACCCTATCATTACACCTCCAGTAGGTCTAGAGTTCAATGTCTCTTTTATAGGAAAGGGATTCACCAACGAGGGAGACGCTTTGGGCAGTTTCCTTTGCAGGTGAACGGGTTTCGGAGATATCCACGCAGAGTCTAGAGGGTGCCACTGCCCAGGGTGAGATTGAGGCTGTCAGTAGTGACGTCACACAGAAATCAGGCCAGGAGGTACCGCCAGATCCTGCTTTAGTAAGCTGAACCCTTCCCAGGGCTTGATTTAGTGCTTTGTTACTTGCACTGGTGCAACGCAATATTACAAAGTGCAACCTAGTTATGAGTCTTAACTCTGCAACAAGGTGCACGCCAAGTTTTTAGAAATAAATCAACAATAAATTTAACATTATGAGCATAAATATGTCAGCTCATTTTCTTCTTAACTTTGAATAGCTATAACACTGGAAATATTGCTATTCATTTACACTTTTCGCTATGACAGCTCTTGTAAACAGGGATCAGCAGTGTCTCTGTGTTGCTATGGTTTCACAGGTACTACATCAAGGAAATGTGTTTTATGTGCTCGAATCCTCTGGACGTTTTTACACACTCACGTTTGCAACTTGAATTTGGCTGGTGCAACTCAGGTTTTATCTTAGGTTGCACGAGTGCAAGTAGGTTAGCCTCTCTTAAATTGATCCCTGCCTTCCAGAGATATGGCATCTTACTTTCCTTTAGGAATTCGGTGTGGAGATTATCACTAGGCATTGTTTCTTTCCTCTGTTAAGGATTCTGGGTTTGAACATGCCCAGGAGCTCTTGCTTTTATACTATTTGGTACTCTGGGACAGAAGAGGTGTCAAGGCTCTCTTTTTAAAGTGTATAATATAATTTTGAAATGTGGCCTGTTCAAGGACTGGCTGTCCAAAAAAGTGACCAGTCCTGAACAAACACAGCCAGTCCCAAAAACTAATACAATAAAAATACAACAAATGTTGTTTTGATCACAGTATTTATTATCCTCTCTCCAAATTTTCCCCCTACGAAAGGACGGCCTTACTTATTTAATAGACTGTCCTTCCCCAAAGTAGACTGTCTAGGATGATGGGACTGGCTATATATATTATACACTGCTTTTTGGGATGCGATGTCCGAATATGCCCCAAAGCCCATGTTGTGCACCTGTTTGCCAGTTTCTTAGATGCCGTCAACTCAAGAAGACTCACAATTCCCATTTCGCTGTTTCAGCTATGGTTTTCCCGCCTGCCTCCAGTATTGACCTTTGAGCTTTCACGTTTCCAGTTCAACCAGCAGATGGGTCGACCTGAAAAAATACATAATAAGATAGAGTTTCCTAAAGTTATCTACATGGACCGGTAAGTAATTGTTTACATGTTTGGGGCATCCATTCTTAAATGAACTGTTCATTCATTAACATTGTGTTGAATGTGGCAATTGATATTGTGCAGTTATGTCCCTTGTTATGCAAGGATCTGCTGAACTTGGGCACCTCCCTGATCAAGATACTTGGTCTGTCAGCACCATGCCCATGATACTAACCCTTGTATTTGCTGTCTGCAGGTTCATGAAATTGTTCTAGACATTCATCTTCATTCATCTTTTGTCCCTGAAGGTAATTTGCTGAAGAAACCTTGGAAATGTTTTCTCTTCTGTGAATTGTGTCCCATTGGTGCAGGGCCTCACCATGATACAGTGAATATGATATCTGTGCTGTTGGACCGTGGTTTGATTGTGCCCAGTTTGAGCCTGAGATTCACCTGTGTTGTCCAGGTACATGGAGAGAAACAAGGCACTGACACGCGGCAGAGGAGAGAGGAGGAGAAAGCTGAAGGAGGAACTCACTGTGCTGCATCTTGAGAAACTGGATAAGTAAGTCAGTCAGTGCGTGGTTAGTAACTAGTTGGATAAGTTGATGTATAAGGCAATGAAATGGATCAGTAAGTCAGCAAGATGGATCAGTAAGTCAAGCAAGATGGTTCAGTAAGTCAGCGAGATGGATCAGTAAGTCAAGCAAGATGGTTCCAGTAAGTCAGCGAGATGGATCAGTAAGTCAAGCAAGATGGTTCAGTAAGTCAGCGAGATGGATCAGTATGTCAGCAAGATGGTTCAGTAAGTCAGCGAGGTGGATCAGTAAGTCAGCAAGATGGATCAGTAAGTCAGCGAGATGGATCAGTAAGTCAGAGATGGATCAGTAAGTCAGCAAGATGGTTCAGTAAGTCAGCAAGATGGATCAGTAAGTCAATGACTTGATCAGTAAATCAGCGAAAGATGGTTCAGTAAGTCAAAGAGGGGATCAGTAAGTCAGCGAGATGGATCAGTAAGTCAGCCGAGATGGTTCAGTAAGTCCGCCGAGATGGATCAGTAAGTCAATGACTTTGATCAGTAAATCAGCGAGATGGTTCAGTAAAGTCAAAGAGGGGATCAGTAAGTCAGCAAGATGGTTCAGTAAGTGATTGAGAGGGATCAGTAAGTCAGCGAGATGGTTCAGTACGTCAATCAGAGGGATCAGTAAGTCAATGAGAGGAATCAGTAAATCAGCGAGATGGATCATTAAGTCAGCTAGATGCATGGTAAAGTAGGTTGATGAGATAGATGAGATCATTTTTCCCTGCAATCCTATCCCGGTATTCCTGTGCCTGTTCCAGGTTCATCTGTTACTGGTCTGGAAGCAAAGCGTTTCCCTCTACAAGACGTGTTGTCGTCCGTGCTGCAGTTCGAGAGAGTAAACCCAGTTCTTCCAGTCCACAGTCGCGACGATGTTGAGATGGAATCTCCAAAACCGAACTCGATCACAAAGTAAGAAAAACCTTTTCATTTTACTCTGCTATGTGGTCATGAAGTGGATCAGTTTGTGTCAGATTGCTGAGATTTTTAGTGTATAATGAAAACCCAGAAAACAGTACAAAATATGGTCACTACTCTAACGAAACAGGTTTATTTTCTTTTGAAAAGACAAACATAATGTTTTCCCCTGTTCACAACAAAGTTGATTCATGACATCAGTTTATCAGTAATGTTTGTCCAGTACTTTGAGGGCAGTAGCCCAGTGGTTAAAGCTTTTGCTCATCGCGAAGGTCCGGGTTCAATTCCTCACATGGGTACAATGTGTGAAGCCCATTTCTGGGGTTCCACACCTTGATGTTGCTGGAAGGTTGCTAAAGGCTGCCTAAAACCATATTCACTCACTCCAGTACTTTGATTTATGCGCACAGGTAATGAGGAATGTTGCTCATAATATCAGTCACTGGTTTGTCTAATCCAGGTTTGACAATTAACAGTTCGTCGTCATGTTGTTAGCATATACTTGGAAGCAGTTATTGAAAAACAAAACTAATGCTACATTTCCATCTTGTTTCAGTTGCAGAACAGAATCTCGAACTCTCTCTCCCAGTCCCGGCCAGTGGATGTGACCATGTCATCCCACTGCCCGCAAGCTCCCCGGGCAGGCCCCTAAGCCCCCGCCCGGCACTTCCCAGCCCTCCCCGCCATGTGTCAGAGAGTGAACTCCAGGTGCTACAAGACTGTCTCAGACGTTGGCGAACTGAGGTGGAGACTGGCGTCAGGGGTAAGTTTTTGTCTTCTGTCCAAGTAGGGATGAGTGAGTGATGTCAGGCAGCAATACTCAAGCTATTTCATGACAGAAAACCAAACAATGAAAACTTCATCTTCTCTTTGTCAAGATACACAACAAACATAGTTTGTCACACAAGTCTCTAGGTTAATCGTCAAACTCTCATATTCTGTGTTGAGATTAAAGGCCAGTGTGACATGTGTATAATTTCAAATGATTTCAAAGGACAAGGTATGATAAGGGTGTTTTTGGCCCACAAACAGAATTGGCTGAACACATGTTATTTGTTTAGAGACAAGATGGCTTTTGCATATAAAAGCCATTTTTAAATGATCTGAGGCCATAATTTCAATGCAGAGGGGCCAAAAATGGGTTTTATCAGTTCCCATGAAAAAATAACAAGAAATCTGAAATATCAGTGTGCCATAATGACTTATATACAACTATCAGTTTCTTTACATACAAACAGTATCAGTTTTGCAACAGGTATTCATGATGAAGCAACATGTCAACATCAATCACAAGGTTTCAACTTCAAGGGGCCCAATTAGGGTTGCAATACATTGTGGACAGTAATTCAATTACTTGCAAATTGATTACAAAAAGCACATTATTGACAACTTTCTTTGCAAACATAAACTATTGGTCAATTTTACAACATGTACTTATGATAACCAATCATGTCCCACTTAAAAATCACAGGGGCCCATTTTAGGTCTAATTACATTTTGGGCACAGCTTGATTTTTAACAAGTAAGTGTTAAAAGTCAGTATTCACAACCGGTTTTAGCAAATATACAGTAAACATCTCATTCACAACATGTTATTACAATAACCAATCATGTTGCACTAAAAATCACAGGTCTTGACCTCAAAGGGGCCTATTTCAGGTGAAATTACATTCTTGGCACAGCTTGATTTAACACCATGTAAGTGTTAAAAGTCAGTATTTACAACATTCTTGCAAATATATACAGTCAACATCTCATTCTCAACATGTTGTTATAATAACCAATCATGTTGCACTAAAAAGCACAGGTCTTGACCTCAAAGGGGCCTATTTCAGGTGAAATTACATTCTTGGCACAGCTTGATTTTGACACCAAGTAAGTGTTAAAAGTCAGTATTCAAAAATCTTCAAAAAGTACTTATTCACAACTCATTCACTGCAAAGATATATAAAACATCCATTTTCACTCTTCATCCACATGGTCATCAATCTCTGAATCAGTTTCTGAATCACTGTCAAGAACTGCAGCATTCAACCGTGTATCACTAGAGTTGCTGGAAACAGGCATATTGTCTTGGTGTCTGCCATAGCCAGATCTTCTCACAACTGAAAAACAGATGACTTTATATCAAAAGAGAATTCTTTTTATAAAACTTTAATATTATAAATCTATACAAGGGTAACATTACTTATTTATTTTCAAATGTCAGTAGTCTGGCCTTGAAGGCTTATGCAGATTTAATCACCACTGAGACATCAGTATTTCTGAAATTCTGTCAATTTAAATAAGAAAATTGAAGAAAAAAAATATTGGTTATTTTTAGCACTCACATTATTCTTACCTTCCACCTCAAGTTTTAAGTTGTCATCTTCATGACATGACACTCCTGAAATCAGTCCAAGCAAATTTCTCTTATCTGAAAACAAATATTTGAAATCATAAAAGAATTATCATTATGTTCAAGAAATTGGGGCTCTGTAATTTTTCTAATGCTAAAGATGTGAATAGGATAGTTATATAGGGAAGGGAATTGACCTCCAAAAGCATAATCAATTGTTGAGGCCACTTTTTGATCAATTATAGATATAAGATAAAAACAACTGTTAGACCACATGAAAACAAAGGTAATCAGTCCTCAGTTTTAATATGACAATTGAAACCAATAGTCATTGATTCTGTAAACATATTTTTGACTGGCAGCCCACAAAATATCCATAAACTAATTATTTGTTTGATCAGTGCACCACTAATTAACAGCTCTGGACAGTTTGTAAATATTTACTTAATACTTACTTGTTACCATAATAACATTTTGAAACAATGCTTACCTTCTACAGGTTCTTTATTGTGTGGGAACAAAGTGGAAAAGTCAGTGTCTTCAGGCTTAAACAAGATTTACATGATGTTAATTCAAGTTTGTTTGAACAGTGTAACTTACATTACCAAACTTAAGAATTTTTTGTATTTCATGTGCACAAGTTTTGTCAGCCAATTTACAATGTTTAACTTAACTTTTGAAGAAGAAAAAAGAAGAAAAGAAAAAAACAATTAGGATTTGAACCTGAATGTCTGATAACAGAAAAAAATTGAGAATCCATCACTGTAACCACTAGGCTACAGATTCTACTGTTATTATTTGTCACTTCAAGCTTATATATACACTTTGCAACAATGTGTCACTTGACGTCTGCTTGCTTTTCAAATCTGCTAGACCTTGATACAATGTTCTTATTCTAACAATATTAAATGTAGCCTGATATATCCTAGAAAACATCAAGGTACATTATTTTTGTTAAAATGTGTATGTTTATACACAGTTACATCCAGTGGAATGCCAGTGTTATTTGACAGTGACAGGTGACACAGAGGGGTTTGCTAAACAGATGATAGAACAAATATGATAAAATTCTAGCATAATTACAAGATTCTCACCTTTAGAATGCTGCCTGATCATATTTTGAAAAATCTTCTGATGTCTTCTTATTTTTCCAGCAGTGATCAACAGGGTCTCCAAAATACTACCCCTTGTTTACCTCAAAGTAATCAGCCTTGAGAGTCCCTTATGATATTGAAATTTTTAATAAACATGTTTGATAAGTTCATTTTAGTGCTCTAAAACATTCAAAATAGTAATGAATCATGGTATAGTTGTGTAAATGTGACTGGCGGATAGTTTTCAGAGATATTACTTTACGCCAATGTTTATTTTTGAGATGTTGTATGGGGCAATTTCATACAACAGAAAAAATGTACTTTTATGCAGAGTTATCATGGTAGAACATTGAAACTTGAAGATCATACCTTGGTCAGAGTTACAGGAGAAGTGACTTGAAGTAACAGTATGATGATGCTATGCAAAAAGTGAGTACATGATGTATTGCAAATAATCTTTATATTCTCAACTAGACATATCCTGGATGCTGGTATTACAGACTGATTTGTTCCCCAGTTTGAAATCCTAGACATATCCAGGATGCTGGTATAACAGACTGATTTGTTCCCCAGTTTGAAACCCTAGACATATCCTGGATGCTGGTATAACAGACTAATTTGTTCCCCAGTTTGAAATCCTAGACATATCAGGATCTGGTGTAACAGACTGATTTGCAGTTTGGTGACATAACAGGATGCTGGTATAACAGACTAGATTGATTTGTTCCCCAGTTTGAAATAACCTAGACATATCCAGGATGCTGGTATAACAGACTGATTTGTTCCCCAGTTTGAAATCCTAGACATATCCAGGATGCTGGTATAACAGACTGATTTGTTCCCCAGTTTGAAATCCTAGACATATCCAGGATGCTGGTATAACAGACTGATTTGTTCCCCAGTTTGAAATCCTAGACATATCCAGGATGCTGGTATAACAGACTGATTTGTTCCCCAGTTTGAAATCTTAGACATATCCAGGATGCTGGTATAACAGACTGATTTGTTCCCCAGTTTGAAATCTCAGGAGACATATCCAGGATGCTGGTGGTATAACAGACTGATTTGTTCCCCAGTTTGAAATCTTAGACATATCCAGGATGCTGGTATAACAGACTGATTTGTTCCCCAGTTTGAAATCTTAGACATATCCAGGATGCTGGTATAACAGACTGATTTGGTCCCCAGTTTGAAATCCTAGACATATCCCAGGATGCTGGTATAACAGACTGATTTGTTCCCCAGTTTGAAATCTTAGACATATCCAGGATGCTGGTATAACAGACTGATTTGTTCTAGACCCAGTTTGAAATCCCTAAACATATCCCAGGATGCTGGTATAACAGACTGATTTGTTCCCCAGTTTGAAATCCTAGACATATACCAGGATGCTGGTATAACAGACTGATTTGTTCCCCAGTTTGAAATCCTAGACATATCCCAGGATGCTGGTATTACAGACTGATTTGTTCCCCATTTTGAAATCTTAGAGATATCCCAGGATGCTTGTATAGCATCTACGACTGATGTATCAAGTTAGTCCTTTTTGTAAGATGAGCCAGTAATATTTGTCACAAGCAAAGTCAGTAAGATTTCCCATGATTGATTTTAAATTTTGTCCAGTCATATTATTTTGGAAGATCTAATATATATCCAGGCTATCAGTATAGCATACACTGTTGTTCCTCAGTTCCCCTACCATCTCCATGCTGTGCTGGTTCATGAGGGTCAGGCGGCGTCGGGCCACTACTGGGCCTACATTTATGACTTGACCAGGGAGAAGTGGCTCAAGTTCAACGACATCACCGTGTCCGAGTCATCCTGGGAAGAGTTGGAGAAGGAGAGCATGGGAGGCTACCACAATGCCAGTGCCTACTGCCTCATGTACGTGGACCGCAGCAGACTGGAGGCGTTAGAAGGTAGGGTGTGGTAGACAGTGCCTCAGTGTGATGTTATTGAAATGACAGTGAGTTAGTGAAGTAGTCCAGATTCAATGTGATACTGCAATCTGATGATAAACAATTGTGAAAGTATATCCAAGAAAGACAGGGTTAGTGTCTGTTAGGCACCACAGATTCAGTTGAATGTAGAGGTGATAGTTGTTACTGGTGTTCCACTGCCTGAAATACAGAGAAATACTGGAAAATTCCAATGTTGTGTTAGTCAACATCTTTTTCAGAAATATCAAGGTCATTCTTATCATCTGAGAAATGACACCATCTGCAACCAGCTTGCTGTGTATAACTGACTGACTGAGTTTGGTTTTACTCCGCTTTTAGCAATATTCCAGCAACATCACGGCGGGGGACATCAGAAATAATGTCTGTATGACATGTTGTGACCATAACAACAACTACAAAGTTGTCAATGTACAACAGAAGTCTCCAGTGTATTTAGGGTCACAGCAAAATACAGATGAAAGAACCCGCAAAGATCTGGGAAAGAATTGGTCTTCAGGCAACCCATGATTGTCATAAGAGGCATTTAACTGGATGGGGTGGTCATCCTCATTGACCAGGATGATGTGTCATCATATCCCAGCTCTGTGTGCTCATGAAGTTGATCACTGGATCGTCTGTCCAGGTGCAACTGTTTACACACTGCTGCTATATCGCTTAAATACACTGCTTAGTGTGGCATTACACAAGACACAAACAAACATACAAAACAGATGAAATAATAAGTGTGATATATTGTGGTATGTGTGTTTTGATAATGCAAAAGATATCACTGGTTGATTGGAGAGACAGATGTTCACTGTGGGTTTGTTGTTCCAGGGAAGCAGCGATCAGAGCAGGTAGAGGCTCTCCCTCCAGACCTCGCCGACCAGGTGATGGATGACAACAAGAAGTTCGGGAAGGAGTTGGAGGACTGGGACCGAGAGATGGCGCTGAAGAAAGTGGGCGGAGACTCTGAAGTCACTGACCACAGGATGCGAAGCGACAAGCCAGGTGAGCTAATTCCTCACAAATGAATGAACAAGTACAGTTTGTCAAGACAGTGTGTCCTAGTGCTTGATATTACCAGAATAATTGACTGAGTTTAGTTCCCTACATGAGTCGTGTGAGGTCGAACTCTGATAACTCAATATCTCGGTTGTCTCGATATAATTTCTCGGTCCTGGCAAAATCCTTCATTATTTATCATTATTTGAACCCTTTTAACTCGATACGGATGTCTCAATATTTCAGATATCTCGATATGATTTCATGGTCCCGACAAGCAAAATTACTCTTTTAACTCGATATTTGCACGTTAAGTCGATATACACCTACCTTTCTCGGACAAGTATCCATCTGAACTGTGACTGTCTCCACGTGTTTACACACACGCTGCGGCATGAATCAAAGGTAGCGGTAGTGTAAGCTAATTAAGGCTAATTGAGTTGTAGCTGTCACTTGTTTGTTTATCTTACTAGGATGTACTCCCAATTTCAACTTAACACTCCTGATAACGGATTATAGTATCGAATCAAAACATAGTGAGAATCTAGTCAGGGACTTGTGTCATCACGTGACAAGCAATTGATTGTGGAGTTGTTACTAAATCGCTGACTGAGAAATGCGGATTAGGAGTCAATTGAACGCTATTGTGTTTTGGGGCTATAACATGTTACCAAATGGTAGGTCTGTCAGTACGGTTATCACCAGGTCTGAGCAATCTAGCAAAGGACCCGGCTTGGTACACCTAAAAAGAGAAAGTAAACAGTTAATAAGATCGAGACCAAGTATGAAGCTATCATCGCGGTTGAGAATGGTGGAAAAAAACTGGAGATTGCTAAAGAATTTGGCGTTCCCCAGAACACACTTTCAACATGGATAAAGAATTCTCAGAAAATCAAAGAGGCATTTGAGAGTTCATCATTCTCTCCAGCAAGAAAACACATGCGTACGGCTAAGTTTGAGGATGTAGATGAGGCAGTTTTGAAATGGTTTAAGACAGTTAGGGATAGTAACATTAATGTATCAGGGCATATGATTATGGCTAAGGCAGAAGAATTGGCAGAAAAATTGGAGGTTAGTGTATTCACATGTACAAATGGCTGGTTAGATAGGTTTAAAGGGAGACACGATATTGTCTTCAAGACGGTTTGTGTGGAGGAGAATGCTGTTGGCACAGCTTCCGATGCTATGAAACAGTGGAACACAAACTTAGCGACACTTTTGCAGTCATATGACAAAGATGACATTTACAAAGCAGATGAAATGGGGTTGTTTTTATCGACTAGAAGCAGATAAGACATTTGACTTCAAAGGTTCTAAATGTCATGGTGGGAACCGAAGTAAAGAACGAATAACTGTTCTTGTTGTCTCAAACATGTCGGAATCTGACAAGTTGCCACTCTTGACGACAGGGAAAGCCCCAAATCCTAGGTGCTTTAAGAACGTGAAAAAGATCCCTACAGATTACCATGCTAACACGAAATCATGGATGACATCCGAAATTTTTGAAGGTTGGGTCAGAAATTTAGATAGAAAAATGCAGAAGAAAAAAGGGAAAATTGCCCTTGTGATTGATAACTGCCCTGCCCGTCCACATGTTCCAAATTTGACAAATGTAAAGTTAATCTTTCTGCCACCGAACACAATGAGCAAAACACAACCCATGGATCAGGGAATAATCCAAAATCTGAAAGTCCACTACAGGAAACACGTAACATTGAAGCATTTGGCCTCCATTGAATCAAAAAAAAAGAAATGAATGTGTCTGTTTTGGATGCCTTAAGATTTGTAAAGATGTCATGGGATGCAGCTACACCAACAACAATCAGTAACTGCTTCCGAAGGGCCGGGTTCACAAATACCAGTACCACTACTGCTACCGATGCTCCCGACGAGTTGTGGATGATGTGATCGCAGCCAGACAGCCAGCCGCCGACGACAGTGATTGCGACTGTGAGACTGACAGTGAGGAACCAGCCCAACCCCCGCCCTCACTTGCACAAGCAACCCCGACGTCCTGACTCGATTTGTGGAATCGAGAGATGGAGGTCGAATGACACAAGGACTTGTTATATATATCAAGAGTGGTTGACCAGTATTGCGTTCATGCCAGCACCAAATGCCCATCAGTTAAAACTTTCTGATTTCTTCACTTCGTTTGTGGAGTAAATCCAACTTTTGTATATTTCAAAATGGACACTATGACGAGATTACCATGTGTATTTGCGATCTCTGTGAGGACAAATAAATAATAGACATGCAATCTACTGTTTTCATTTGTTTTCTTTCATTTCTTTCAGGTTGGTATGTGATGATATGCCCAACTCAGATGTGTCGATATTCGGATAAGTCGATATTTTTTCCTGGTCCCGTAAATATCGAGACAACGGTGTTTGACTGTACCTGGTTCCAACAAATCGGTTCATGCCTAAACCACATATTCTTTAGCCTCCCACATTACAATGACAGGTTCAGAGCCTCAGTTAAGCCCCCAGTACCCAGTTCAGAATTTTATACTTGTGGTGTTCCATTTCAGCACAAACTACAGGCACTCAGACAGTGCACATGTCACAACGTATCAACCTGTCCGTCGTCCACGCCCAGCTGGCCATGAAAGACACTCTCGGCATCGTCATCAACATGATGGAGATGAGTGCTGCCAAGCCTCCTGGGGAGTTGCTGCAAAGTGTAAGTCACGACTCTCATAACAAGACATCATTTCCACTTGACATTGGTCTAAATGACTCTATTTGCTAAGATGACAGGGCCACAAGACATACTGTATAGTGTAGAACTTCAGTGGCTGTTTAATGACTAGGTACCCGTGAAGGTCCAGGTTAGAATATTGATCTCCAGTGACCCATGCTTGTCGTAAGAGGCGACTAACAGGATTGGGTGGTCAGTCTCGCGGACTTGGTTGACACATGTCATCGGTTCCCAATTGCGCAGATCGATGCTCATGCTGTTGATCACTGGATTGTCTGGTCCAGACTCAATTATTTACAGACCACCGCCATATAGCTGGAATATTGCGGAGTGCTTAGTAAAACTAAACTCACTCACTCACTAAAGACTAACTGGTAGCAGTGTCAGTAGGGATTTCAGGCCTGGGGACTGCAGTATGTTAGGACCTCATTAATGTGGGTTTGAATCCAGGGGTTGGAGTTTGCATGCATTATGCTTTTAACCATCAAGCTGGAAATTGTGTGGTTGCTTCCTTTTCTAAACAAACTCAGGCACACCCACTCACTCTGCCTTATAGGGTAGAATGTCGCAGATTAGAACATTCTTGATTCACATCCTTGCTCAGTCGTTGAAATTATGGCTTGCCTGGGCTCCATCAAAATTGTTCCAGTCAAATTTGAATCCTGGCGCATCAACATGGATACGATATGGACACTTCAACTTTCAGGCCTATTTTTGAACACTTCCAGAAAACGTTTCAAGAACTTATAATCCTGTGATCATTCCCGACCGCGTCATATCAAAAGACGTTTAACTATGGTACTTGTTGGTCCTTGCCTGGCGCTCGGCATTAATGGGTACACCAAGGACTGGTCGGCTCGGAGTCAGTATAATGTATCTGAGTGGGGTATTCATGCTTCACTGCGGCATGGTATCTCAGTGGGCTAGCACTATAAAACCAGCTTAAGTCTGGGCTAGTACAAGCAGCCAGACATACACATACACGCGCATGCACGTCGTCATATGAGCGAAATATTCTCAAGCACGAAGTTAAACCCAATTCACCTCACCTCTTCAGATTATTATGGGAGAGCTGAGGAGTCTAGCCAAGTTGGAGAAACAGTTTCCCAAGAAGCCCCTTGACGACCTGAGGCTGCGGATGGTGAGCCTGTATCTGTTTATGAATGGGACAGACGAGGACACGCTGAAGTGGGTTCTGCTGGAACAGATCACGTACCTAAATAGGCTGGACACTGAACAGAGGTGAGTAACAAGTACTGAATATACTTTTACATCTCAGGTAGGAAGAATGCAGCTGATGACAGCATATTTTAAATTTTTCCTTATCCTGACTCATGCTCTTTTTGCTTGTCTTCTTCTTGCGAACATAGTGGAACACTTGTATCTCCCTAATTGAAGCTCCCTTCAATTTAAAATCACTAATTAGTATTCACCACGAGTTACCCCCCTTCCACAAGCGCGTGAACGAGGGCGCCACCTCTACCCATGTGCCTCACTCTCTCCTTCTTCGCCCAGTGAGCTGGACGTGAGAGCGCCTGTGTCTCCCGACACACTATATCCTTTGAATTATATTTAGTTAGTTACCTCGTATAGACATCTATAGAGGTTTAGCTAGTATCCTTCAACGATTATATATTGATATTTAGTCGTTTTCTACAGTTTATTCACGCGGGGCTGCGTGTTTGTTTTCAGTGGATTACGTTGATGAAAATTCTGTACTATTGCAGATTACGTTTTTATGCTGCTGCTGATCCGCCTTTAATATGATGTACGGCCATGTTTATTATATTCACATTGCAGTTGCGGTACTAATTTATCCAATTCTACCTTTTATTAATATTTACTTTGCGTTTGGCACGACAGCAGATAGGTCGTGTATGCAGAGTCTAGTATGACTGATACACGAACCCTCGCCAGTCTACTGCTGTTGGCCGACTCCCCTCGTGGTGGTGTTCCGCCAGAGTGGTGGAGAGGTGTGGGACGTAGTCCGCCATCTCCAAGAAGCATCCTGCTTCCCCAGACATCCCATCGTCGCAGCAGAAGACTAGAGGGTTTTTCTACTACATCTCAACAACCGGGACCGCTCCCATCGAAGTTTTGGGCCTGTATGATGATCAGCCGGTCTTCATACCGGATGTACATCAAAGATTGACCGATGTCGGCACAGATCAGCATGCAGCCTGATGTACCGCGCGCCAGATATCGCGATGATCGCCCTGAGGGTCCCATCATTACCAACACTCAACGCAGACGCCGCACACCCAGGGCAGCGCCGACCTCTGAGGGAAAATCAACGAAGTCTACTAGGACTTTCTCAGCGAGATTGTTCCAGCCGATGACCTGGACTCTACGATGATCAGCTGATCATCATCCCCGACGACGCCACAAGAAACGACCGGGGACAGCTACAACGACATCAGCAGAGATCACCATGCAGCCTGATGCCTCTACACTGATGTCGGACGATTTTCCGTGGACCCTCCATTAACACCGCAGATAAAGCACCGACACGACCTCGCCGCAGACCATCCCAGAAGACATGATGCGACAAATTATGAACATCATGGAGGACCAATATCTCGCGTAGCAGGGTCCCGAGCCTAAGCGAAGGCTCCAACGTAGACAGCACCCCAGAGGCACCCCGTCAACGCGTAGCAGCCAGGACGATGTCACCTTCGCGAAGGAAGTCACGGACCACCTTGACGAAGGACCTAGATGTACAGCTTCAATCTGTAGGCGAAGAGTTTATTTTGCTATATATACATTTAGCTTAAGTCTAATCTTATCTTAAGCTTAGTACTATGGTTACACTATAAACATATTAGCTAATAAACTCTACAGAGTTTTTGGCTATTATATATGTAGCTTAAGTTAATAATATCTTAAGCACAATACTATACTCATATTGTAAAATATATTAGCTAACAAACTCTCATGGAGTTCTGCTATATATATGTAGCTTAAGTTCATTATATCTTAAGCACACTACTATACTCATATTGTAAAAATATATTAGCTAACAAACTCACTTGAGTTTTGCTATTATATATGTAGCTTAAGTTAATTATATCTTAAGCACACTACTATACTCATATTGTAAAAATATATTAGCTAACAAAACCCTACAGAGTTTTGCTATATATATATGTAGCTTAAGTTTATTATATCTTAAGCTCAGTACTATACTAATATTATAAATATATATTAGCTAACAAACTCTACAGAGTTTGGCTATTATATATGTAGCTTAAGTTAATTATAGCTTAAGCACAGTACTATACTCATATTATAAAAATATATTAGCTAACAAACTCTACAGAGTTTGGCTATTATATATGTAGCTTAAGTTAATTATAGCTTAAGCACAGTACTATACTCATATTATAAAAATATATTAGCTAACAAACTCTACAGAGTTTTTGCTATTATATATGTAGCTAAAGCTTATTCATATCTTAAGCTCAGCATTATATCTATATCATATAAGTATATTAACTAACAAACTCTAAAGAGTTTGCTATTATATAATTAGCTTAAGTTTAATCATATCTTAAGCTTAGTACTATGTTATATCTTAAAGTATTTTAGCTAACAAACTCTAAGGAGTTTATACTAGCATATTAACAAGCTTAAGTCTATTAGTCTTAAGCATTGTATTAATGTTATATATACTTTATCATAATAAGTACATGGTAATAACCTTTTATATGGCAGCTGATAAGTTAGCAGCAGGAATTCATCAGTTCAGTGCCTTTATGAAGTTCCCATAGGGTTATTACAATCATCACAGTTCAAATCACTAATTATTAAAAATCCAAAGTATTAGATATTCCCACCTCCGTTCGTAGGATGCTACAAGCAAAAGAGCATGAGTCAGGATAAGGAAAATATGTAATTTTTGGAGTAAAATTGATATTTTATACTTATCCTGACTCATGAGGTCAGCCCTCCCATCCTCCCCAAATAACACTTTGGATTTCCCTGTAAATTCAAATGTTGGGCTCAGTATATGAGGAGAGAGTGAGGCACATGGGTAGAGGTGGCGCCCTCGTTCCCGCGCTTGTGGAAGGGGGGTAACTCGTGGTGAATACTAATTAGTGATTTTAAATTGAAGGGAGCTTCAATTAGGGAGATACAAGTGTTCCACTATGTTCGCAAGAAGAAGACAAGCAAAAAGAGCATGAGTCAGGATAAGTATAAAATATCAATTTTACTCCAAAAATTACATTTTCCTTGTTATGATTTCAAACATGCTTCTGGGCTTTTATCTGGACAGCTAGATGCAAGTACTGTATTGCTGGAGGCAGCGTTAAACATAGGTAAAGTCTCAGTGAAAAATCAGAAATGTACTGAATTTGATGTTGGAGCTGTGTTCAGGCTTGTAGACACCATAGGTTTGGGCACAGAACAATGTGCGATTCATAGAACTCTTTCATGCTATTTTCAGGTTCTCCATATACCTTGCTCGTCACCCAACTACACTACCATATTTTTTGCACTATTACCCGCATCTTTTTCCCTCTAAAACTGCGGGTTATGCGGCAGTGTGGGTTATAATCCAGAGCGGGTTATGAGTGGATTTTACACGGAGAAAACATGAATTTTTTTTAAGGAAGTGTTATAAAATACCCCGGGAATGTAGTCGTTGTATGTGCTATTTAAAACGCGACTTTCAATTTCAAATCGAGCGGTGTATCAATAATATGACAGTAGATTTGATTTATGAATAAAACAATCCTGCTTGTAACTGTTATGAAAATGTTCAAAGAGCATACAATGCCGTCCGGTAATTCCGTACGCCTTAGCACATTCATCGCAACCCTGGCTGGGACGCTCGCCAAAATGTCGGAGTTGGGGACGTGTGCAAAAGCGAAAACTTTTTGTCGTTAATTACGTGAATCAGCAATGCTAATACATACTTTATGGACAGCAAAAGTTTATAAATGGTACTGTGAATTTACTTCCGTGATTATTTCATTTCTAAAGCGTATAAAAATAGCAATCGACATTTTGCCATGGAGGTGTCGGGTTCTTGTATGAATATTCATCAGGTCACCATGAACTTGTCGCGACATGTGGGTGGGCGTGGCAGGTATTTACATTGATGTTTTTCGTAATTTAGTCTCGTTGATAATCAATGGAGGAGGGCCACGTGATTAGTTAAAGAGTTGTTAATGTATTTTGCTACAAGATAATATATTGTTTATAAAGAAACAAAATTAAGAATAAAATATTGTCAACACAATCCTAATGCAATTCGTACGATTACAAAGTGATTTCGCTCGATGTAGTGTTGTCACAACAATTAAGAAAATCAGTATTGTTAGTTGCAGTCCTCCCACCTGCGTAAATATCCATCAGTGAAGACGAAATGAACTGAAATGCTATCGTTTCCATATTGGCAGAATACATATTTAATCAAAATAATCATTTGTCAAAATAAATAATTCTAGCTCTTCAGTTTCTGCATGTTATCTTTTTATATTCTTATGTGTTTCATGTTATTTTTAACCATATGAGTATATTGCTATTGCGATATGAATTTGAAGTGTTTCTACTGGCTTAATTTGTGTGGGTGTGGTATTTTCAGCCAATCACATGTCTATACTAAATTCATGCCGGGAAACCCCGACTGATTGGCACGTGGTAGGTCGCAGTACACACTCCGGCGCAGCGATGACTTAGCATAACATCTAATATCAGTTTTACACTGTTACGTAAATATTATGACAATACATATTTATATTTCAAACTGGCTGCATCGTTTTCTCTCCATAAAGCCTCGATGACAGCACGTGGGTACAACCCATGTAAACAAAGGATCGCCGCGCAAATCGAAATAGTGGTGGTACACGTTTCTGGATATTTTCTCAGTGAAACTAAACCATTTTAGCAACAATGTTTAATTAGATGTGTAGTCCCATCAAACATAACAAAAGTTACGAATTATGTACATTATATTGAATGGACTGTTAAAAACGCCACATTTTTCTGGCGGTGGCAGAGGCTCGCCGCAAGGAATTCTGGGTAGGAGAGTTGTCGCAGTGCAGCCAGACATAGAAGTTAGAACGACACATCAGTTTTAATCATTTATTTTGTAATAACAACAATGGATTATGTTTATTATTCAGAAGACATGATGATTTATCCCGAAAGATTATTAAAGTTGTCTGAAACATGAATTTACTACAATATTTCCATTCGGTGCGGTCTACTTCTAAAATGGTGACGCTACTCATCCG